TGAGCAATGTTCCACCATTGACAAGATTCTTTGTTGGTAAGTCTTACGAATGGAAGTAGTGTGAGTCATTGAAGAATCATTATTTTTGTGGGGAAAATATTACACATTCAAACGTTGGCAAATCCAGGTTGTGGTGATATTCAATCCCTCCCCTATCCCTGACAGCAGTCACTGTGGTGAAAGGGATGTTCAACCCCTCCCCCTACCACTCTAAAGGGCCTCTTCAAATTCAGCGTTTATTATGGCTTCACACATGTGCATGCGACAAATTTCACTTCTCTTTTAATCATCGTTTTCAGCTTTAATAGTCAACATAGTGCTTGTTTTATTGAGTGATCTATATATCTACAATCTAGGTATTTAAGAAGTTAAAAACATCCGATTAAAAACAAATTTATGTAGGGCCTAGAGTGGGAGAATGCTTAGAAACTGCCTGCTGTAAGCCTAGGCCCCCTCAGACTTAGCTGCGTAGGCCTGTGCCTAGTTTATACCAGTGTAAGTCGTACCAGTGCAAATATATAGGAATTTTGGTCTACCCCGATTTTACGAATACCCGCAATTACGAACAGCTCTGGGCCTGTGCCGTACATAATTGAGGGGTTCTACTGTAGATGGCAATGAAGAAACTAAATTTCTAGCCTCAGATTTCAAGTTGATAAATTTGTACACTGCCTACCTTTTGGCAAGTGAGTAATCTTGCATACAAATCTTGATTGTTTTCATAGTCAATACTTATGAGCAACAACTCAATGTAGACAACCCGTTAGGAATGAGAGGTGAAATTGCAAGGGCCTATGCAGATCTTATCAAGCAAATGTGGTGTGGTCGCTATAGTTACACAGTTCCTAGAAATTTCAAAGTAAGTAATCATTGACAAAATGAGGAGTTTTTCTCTTCAAGTAGTTCAAACTGTTTCTACTTTTTTGCGAAGTGAAATAATGTGCAACCAATCAAAGCTCAGGAAGCAAACCGACACTTTCGATTCACATGAATAAATTTGCCTAGTTGAAAACAGGCTTTGAAGAGACAGTCTTTTTGTTAAGCCCTTTCCAGACTATCAAATTTTGTTTGACAAAAACATGTGACATGCCTAAATATGGTCATGATGACATCACATCATGACCATATTCCATTCTGTAAGTGGCAGGCTCCCCGCTGTTGGATGTGAAATGAAATAAAATAAAAAAATATATATATCTATATATAGGCACATCATGACTATATATGGATAACGGTATTTTTTTTCAAATAAAATTTGATAGGGTGTCTGGAGAGAGCCCTTTCTCACATTTCACATAAAACTTTATTAAATAAATAATGTGGAAATATAGCTCTTTACTAGTGGACTTGACATGTGCGGTACAATTGTAGTCACGTACACACATATTTCTTACTTCAGATGCAGGTTGGCCGTTTTGCGCCTCAGTTTTCCGGATACCAGCAGCAGGATTCCCAAGAG